GGCTCTCCAGTCGGGGGCCCCTGGGCGTCCGTGGGTGGGGGCTCGCGGTGTGGTCCTGACGTGGCTTGTTGCTCTGCGAAACAGTGTACCTGTAAATCCAGGGTAATCCCTCATCCCTGCCCCGTGTCATAGAAGTATAATCATCGTGGTGGGCAAACATTCGCCTGGGGTGAAGAGCTGTCAAAACTGTCAGGTGCGTCATTGCTTATCAAACGGTCTCTTGCTCCATATGATGGGTTAAACAGCTGGCAGAATGTTTTTGAAAAAGCTGTTTTACAGCTGAATTCGGACTGCTTCCTGCGGTCCTGTTTAGTTGTCCCTTGCATGTGGGAAAAGAGGGATTGAGCTAAAGCCAGCTGATAAAGGCGGGGAAGAGAAAAAAATTAGTCCTTGGAGGAGACCTTTTCCTGCCAGGCTTCAGTACTGTTCTGATAAATACTTCTGCCAAACAAAGGATGTCCATATAATCCCAAATATGCCTGTGCGGGCTTTTCCAAAAATCAGTCTCTGGGGAAGTTATGAAAGATTTGGCCTTGAAATGCAAAAAACTAGAACTCTTGGTTCCAAAATTATGCCTTTTATTAGACCAACTGAAAGGCATTTTGCATGTAGATATAAACACAATAATTGAACATTTTAAAAACATAATGTAAGATAATGTCAAAAAAGGTAACTTCATACCTGGTTTTTATAGTAACGTTATAGAAACAGTGACCTTGCCAGATGTTTGCAAGGCAAAACAATGAGCAAAACTTATGTTTTAAGGCTATTTTAAGCCCCAAGCATAATGTGATACGGCTTCTGGAAGAGTGCTTTTATTTTCTCCTTCTGAAATGGTAGTTTAAAATGTAGTGTGGGATTTTACTGTATCAGATAGATTTGTTTAGTTGTGTTCCTGCCTTTGGACCAGAGGAGCATGTTTGACTCTTGTGTCTAAATGTGTTTTATATCCAGTGTTAATGCTGCACTGCAGTATGTGAAGAGCTGCAGAATTTGCAGATATGCTTTTCTAGGAGTCAGGATGCCCGACTAAGACTCCTTGGCAGCATCTGGTTCTTCACATGATCTTGGAGACTGTGAAGTCTTTCAAGGAGAGCAACAGCTATTCCACCTTGACAGATACCTTCCAATTTTAAACCTGCTTCTAACAGGGAAGTCACAGTGCTGCAAGTATATATTACTTTTGAAGCATTCTGCTGATTAGCTTGTGTTTGAGCAGAACAGAAGTCTGTACAGTACTTTCTCCTATTTGTTTACTCGAACTTTGCTGGAAATCATTTCCATATCAAAGGTGGTACTTGAGCTAAAATAAGTTGTTATCTGGTCCTTGAGGACCTGACCCTGTCAGAGCTGTATATTTATGTTTTGGTATATTCCTTGAGACTACAGCTGTCATCAGCTCTGTGCTGTGCACAGAGTTCAGTGCTGGACTGCAAATATACATGTAATTAGTATAACGTTAAGATGGGATAAGTGGGAATCAATAAGTGCTCTTGTGTGTATTTTCCTTTTAAGTAGGCATTAGTATAAATCACACCTTCATGGTCCTTTGAATCTTGGGTGTGGAAATGAGTCAAACTGAAATAATTGAGCCATGTAGACTGCTTACAGCACTTTACTTTAAATTTGGTGCACCCCTGCACTGAGTGTAGCTTGTGCCCAGAAGAGGCATCATGTTGGTTGACCTGGTTCACCCAACATCTGTACAGATCGGGCACTTCAGCAGGGCGCTTTTATCTAATAGCTGATTGAATTGGCAATTAGATATGAGTGCCAGAAAGCCCTGCTGACCTGCATAATCTGTACAGATGCTGTGGAGCCAGGTTGAACTAATGTGCTGCTGCTTCCAGGAAAGAGCAATTTTGTGGGTTGTTTTTTCTTCTCCACATCTGTCAGCAGCTGTATTTATTTCCTGCAATACCAGTATTGAGCAATCTAATGTTTTGATGACTGAAGTTCATACTACTAGGCTGTTTACAAAAATAGTCCGTTTTCCAAGGTTTTCATATGGTGTATTAGACAAAAGTAGTAATATAGTGAATTTAAATTATTAATATGATATCAAGATTCAGTTTTAAAGGACTTGTGTGTATGGTAGGATTATCAAACAAGCTCAGAGGGACAGCTTGTTTATTTTGGTGGAATTTATATGACTAGGTGCTTATCTGCATCTTTAAGCCCCTGAATACCTTTTAAAATCTGGCCCCAAGAGTCTATTAACTCAGAATTTCAGAGTAACTCTGAAAGTACTCAGTATTATCATCTGTGGAAAGATCCGGGCCCTAGATTTGTAGTGTTTCCTTCAATATAATATTATCAACAGGAGTTTCAGGTGGTTGGAATATGTCTTGCTCTGAATCTGACGATTTTATGGCCTTCCATCAAGTAGAGAAGGTCTAGAATTATATAGGGACTATCTTGTAACATGACTTCATATAACTCCTGCTCATTGTAGTTTTGACATTCAACAATGTATTAATGAGGAAAACAATCATCCTCAACGTGTAAAATGCATAAAGCAGGGGTTTTCAACCATTTTTAATAGGTGTACCCCTGGCGGCTGGTGGGAAGCACGTGGACGGACGCAGATCGGGGGGAGGGGGGATTGATGTGTGGCCAGACGCAGAGCAGCTCAGGGTGGTGGCAGCCACTGCTGTATGCAAGCTCACCCCCCTCCCCTGTGTCCAGCCAGTTGGGCAGCACCTATGCGGCCCGCAGAGGGGTTTCACTGTCCTTGCCCCTGCCCAGCCTTGCTCCTGGGAGGCAGTGACATGGGGCGGTGGGGGGTGGTGCTCCATCTCTGCCCACCCCACACATACCCAAGGGGTATGCATACCCCTGATTGACAACTCTTGGCGTAAAGAATCAAACCATCACATGGGCTACAACTCACCATATTTTCAGTATCTTCAGTGGAGCTGCTTTGGCTTACTCTATCTGAGATCTTACCTGAATGCTTTAGAGCGAGGGGACCAACCTACAACGTGGGTCCCACAAGTGTCATGGGCAGCCTCTGTGTGTGGTATGCAGCAGATAGGGCAGGAAGCAGAGCAACAGTTTGGTCAGAAGCACAGGACAGGGAGCAGAAACCTGAGCAGTAGATTGGGTATGGGAAAGGGATCGGAGTGGCACTTGGGGAGAGTGCAACCCGTGTATAAATACTTATTCTAGTAAGTCTTCATCCATTGTGGACAGTTAATGGAAAGTATTTAGTTTCCAAAAGCAAATATCATCTTTCTGATTCTGAAAGCTTCCTCGCTGCAAGCAAAAGAATCATGAAAAGATAGGTAATACTCGAGGCTTGTAAGTATCAGCAGTAGAAGAAACTGATTATACTTGGGGCATACCACCAGCATCCTATTGGGAGCTTAGAAATCTGTTCCTGTATGCAGATTTGAATGCTGACTTATTGAGAGCCAGGAGGCAAGCTGGAACAGTCCTTGTCAAGTCTTTGTAGAACTGTCTGAATGCTAAGAAGCATGGCATATGGTATCTTGCTGCAAGTAATGAGAGTGGTTGGTTATCTTCAGGAAATTTTTTAAAATAGCTATATGACATAGTGTTGGTGGGAATTCCAGTTCAGGCTGATGTTGGTATGTCAGGCTCATCTGGAAGATCTTTACCTGTGCTTTACAAATCACCACACAGTTTATCATGATTAGAAGTCTTCAACCCTCTGGTCAGTCTTTTGAAGCATTGTAGATCAGGGCTATCCATCTTTTAGAATCCTGAGGAGCTGCACTCTGTGTAGACACCCCCACCCTGTGGTTCCATTCACCTGTAGAGGTGCCACTCCACTACTACACCGCACCTTTCCCTCTCCTGTTTTGTGTACACTCATGGGCCCCCCATTCTCCATTGCTGCCCCACGTGGATGTGATCTTCTCCCCATGTGACCCTGATTTCTGCCCCCTCTGCTCCCCCCTCCAAACATGCAGCCTGGACTTGCCTTTTGCTGGCTGTGCTGTACTGCCCTGCCCCTGGGCCAAGGGCAGGAAGCAGCAGCTGGAGGAGGGAGGGGGAACCTGAGCTATTGCACCAGGGAGGGGCGGGAATGTTGGGGGAATGGGGCCAGGTGAGAGCCTGGAGGTTGCAATTTAGTCCCTTTCAAGCTGCATCCTGTGGGCTGCCAGTTGAACATCCTTGTTACAGAACAGTAGTTTAGTGAAAGGTGTGTCACTACTCAATCTGAGATGCTTTTACAACTTGTCTTGACAGAGAGGGTGTTGTTTCTCATTTACATGTTTTTTATGAAGTTAAGATACATTGAGTATAAACTCTAGGTTGAAAAGAGGTGATATTACCTGACTTGTTTCAATATGGGGGTGCAACTGCAGTTTTGTTGGAAGGCCTAGACCCTAAAAAATATTCACCAAGTCTGTTAAAGAGACAGAGACATGGGTTTATGCTGGATTTTATAGTGTGTTTGGTTGTATGTTTGTTTTTCCTGACATGGTGTCTGTACTAAGAAAAAGCAGTGTGCTTAAGTTAATGTCTTTTTCGGTGCTTGTAGACATGCAGGATGTTTGCTCCGAGGTGCTGTAATTACAGCGCATCAGAGCAGGCTTGATTGATCGAATCTGCTGGAGTGTGCTAATTAGCACGCTACAGCAGCATTGGCTTCTCATGTATTCAGCATCCCCATGCTTCAAAATGGTGGGTGTGCTTTCTAACTAAAGCTCGTTGAACAAGCTTTGGCTAAAGTGCCCCCACCGCCATTTTGAAGTGTGGGACTGAATACACGAGACACTGTGGGTGCTTTAATTGGAGTGGCTCCCAAGAGCCTCTCTAAAGTGTTTTCCCTGCATCCCCACCCCTGAAGCATGTGTAAAGATGTCCTATGTTGCCTACTTAATCTTAAGCAAGAGAAACATTTCACTGTTGCTTAATATTCCACTCATGCCTGCATGGCAAAGTGGAATGAAGAGATGGCTAAACTGGCTCTGGTGTCAGAAGCAGTAAAGCCACATTAACTAACTCTAGTGAGACCATTATGCTAACATGCCTGGATTGCTTCCAGTTCTCAAGCTAGTTTGCTACCTATTTGACTGACATCCTCTTGTGCTATACATAAGTGTCCAATGTTCAATTGTAATTCCTGTGAAATTTGGAGATAGGAAAAAAAAGTAGTGCCAGAGAACAGAGGTGGACCAGAAATCTAGTCAAAAAATGTGTATAGATGCCAGAGGTGATTAACAGTTATGTTTCACTGTGGTGCATCCACATTGCTAACAAGAAAAGGAGGGATTCTTCCTTCTCCTTCATGATGCCTCTTCTTAAATTCATGGGTCCTTGCTTCTTGCAGTAGTCACTTGAGATGAAAAGGAAAGAAATTTAGGAGTGTTTTATTTGTTAAGCTTATCTAAAACATAAAAGCAGACTTCTGCAATTCCCTTGTGCCCTTCAAAGATGTTAGTGAGGGAAAGAACTAGTAAAGAGAAGGTATATAGATTATTACAGTAGCCATTATCTGTGTACTTAAAGTTAAAAAGCAAACACAAAATATCTTGTTCATTCCTTGTAGTTGACAGGCTACTGTACATTCATTTATATGCCTGTTTTATTGTGAAGATTTGAGGAATAAGAATGAGCTTCTCGTTTTGCTTTTCTTTGAAACTATAAGGTTTCTAATTGCTTTCTCCCAAACATGCACTCATAAAGAGACCTTTATCACTCAGTAATGGCACTCAGATTTCAATTTAGTCCACATTGCACTGCACTGACTGCTTTGTTCCTGCTCTGGAAATCCTGCCAATCAAGCTCCATCTTGTCCAATGGGGTTGAGATGATGGGCAGGGTTTTCTGAGTCAGGTCCTTGAAGGCAGTACAGCAGAGCAGCCTAGCTAGACTCACTCATTGTTCTGCCGCTGTAGAACAAAGATCTCCTTCGGAAGCCTCCAGAGATTGTAAAGGTGAGGATTTGCATTGGGCAGGAAGGGGAGTGTGTTGTGTTGTATCTCTGGTCTGTTGGGGAAAGAACCTCTTCTCTCTTGCTAATAGGAAGTAAGGGACCTAGGTATATATTGAGTATAAATATCTACTTGGATAAGAGCCCCACTTTCAAAGGGAAAGCACTGTATTTTGTTGTAGGTTATCCCATGCCTGACAAGGGTCAGTTCTGTTACATGAAACTTGATAAACATGGGATGTGCTAGACAGCATAGCTCTAAAACTGTTCATTTTTTACTAAGTTTCTATCATCTTTTGAAAATTCTTTCTAATATAGCTTTGAATGCCTTTGTAAATTGGCCTTTTAGCTTATGTGTTGAAGCAGGTTTGTTAACTGGAATCAGGAAACTTGCCTGAAAAATTGTAAAGTAATGAATGGTTTTAGACGTGTCCCAGCTGCAGAGAGAAGTTAGTTTTGTTTTGCTGTGACCCAGTGATTCTTCAGGCTCCTTCAAAACTGAGGCTCCTCATAGCTGTAAGGAATAGGAATTCTTTGTTAGCTCTTAATGGGCTAAAGAATTTAGTGCATGCACAGAAGTCCAGGGCTTGTAAAATGAATTCACTTCTGTTAACCAGAAAATTAGAACATTTATATAGGAAGCTCCTGCTGTTCCCTTCCAGGAGTTTAAAGGAATTGAACTTTGTTTGCTTCCAAGTTACAGAATGTTGTTGTTTATGATGCTTTGTGAATGTACGCAATACTGTACAGATACAGAATAATATTTTAGTACTTTACAGGAGCAGGATTTTGATGTATTAATGTGAGGTGAAAAGGAAATTGTAATCTGAAAATATTAATTCATCAACCACTGTGTGTGAATTTTGTTTTGGTCTACATGCTTACATGCATTGTTCCTGAAGGAAAGATTTCTTGAGAATGAGGTGCAGGTTTGTTGGATCTAAACATGATTAGGTTTATGGTTAGTCAGCTTCACTGGCAAGGTATCTGTGATACTACTGCTGAATATGATCCATTTTCTTTGTTTGATAGCATAAAACCCAAGTTCTTCTCTTTCTTAGTATAGGTTTCCCTTACTTTACAGTGTACGTGTGTTCCTGGAAAATGGCGCATAACTCAAATGCACATGAAGGGAACCCACTTTACAATGTAACAAATAAGGATATGTTCCAAGACCTCAACAGTACTGACCCTCAGACACAGTTCTACCACTTTTACAAGGCAATTTTGGTACTCGTCAACAGCCAACAGTACACACAAGCACAGGACACTATCATAACAGGGATGGCAACTACAGAAGTGCATGTTGCAGCCAATGAGCGAGGAGCACAGATCCACACAGGAGACTATATTTTGGTGCACATTACTCCCACAATGCACCGCACAATGCAGCTAACTGCAGGCTTCTACCACACTGATCACATAAGAGTGAATTAACCTTGCATATAATGAATCTTTGGTATAAAAAGAGTCATTGCATAAGAGTGAACTCGCACATACAGAACCTGTATAAAGCAGGGGAAACCTGTATGCCTTTCCTGTGCGGTTTGAGGTGTTCTCTGTGGTGGATGCCTTTCAGCCTTTTGCAAAGCTTTTTTCAAATGGGAGTTTACTGGCCAGTCTTTAGTGTTACCATATTTACTTGAATCCAAGACAGGGTTTTTTCCTCCAGGTGAACACTAGGGTGGTAAACCTTGTTTTAGATTTAGGTATTGGCTTGGGGCAGGTGGTGGCTCAGCTCCGGGCCTTGGGACGAAAGCCAGAGCTGAGCCACCATCTTCCCCAGGCTGGGCTGGCTCATGTGGTGGGGAAGGGTAGATTAGTTGGATGTGGAGGGATGCAGAGAGGAGAGACCTGCAGTATGGGTGGTTAGGGGGAGTACAGGGGAGGCCACCTCTCCACTCTTGCTGCCTACCTTTGGCTCTGGCCTTGACCCAGCCAGGAATGGAACTGCTGCCATTGCTTCTACTTAGCTGAGCGAGGATGGCCTGCGAAATCCGAGACTGTCTTGGCCAATCCAGGATGTATGTTCACTCTACTTAAGTGAAATCTCCTCCCATGACACAGAAAGAGGGGTGAGATGAAAGGGGACAAAAAAGGAATAGAAAAGAAGTCTAAATGGTATGTGGAGTAATGAGCCTCAGACCCAGATGTTAAGGAAGAAAAGTGGGGAACACAAACAGGAAAACCCTGGAGTATCGTAGACATGAGGATATTTTACTCAATCTCGTCCAATCCGGACTTGGTATTTCTTTTTCTCAAAGAAATACTTTAGCCAACAGATACTTCTGCACTCAGTATAGGATAACTGGCTGAAATTTTACTCCCTGTTATATACAGGCTAGATGATCTTTTGTCCCTCTGACCTTAAATTCTATGAATCTTAGACTGCAGTGTTGCCACTAAGAACTTTACAGTTGCAGTAGAGATGATGATAATCCAGATCTTTTCCTGGTTTTAGTTCTTAGCAGGGTCAGCCCTATAGTATGCAGTTGATGGAGTGATGACCAGTCAGTACAGCCTGGTTTTCTTGTGTTATTTCTCTTTGACCTCCTGTCCTCCATGTGGGAATTACCTTGTGTATTGTTTCCCAGGGTACATGCCTTACCAGCTAAAGCAACTATATTTTGTCACTGTTGTGCTCCCTCTGCTGTTTTTTTAAACTTATAACAGTCTCCTCATTTATATTGTTATTAAGGAGTCTGAAGGCAGCTTCAGGCAAGCAGAGCCCTATTTAAGTCGGGTTTTATACAGCCCCATAGATTTGCTTGAGGAAAGATTCTTACAGATCTAGAGTCTTGAGAGCAAGCTCTTCAAATCCAGGATCTCTTTTGCTCATCTTTTAAAATGCTACACAAGTTTATGGTACTGTGGTGAAGAGTGGGTAATGTTTCAATAATCAGCAATTCTGAGTAAATGTGATTTTGTTTTATTCATCTAAAATAAGACCACTTGGTTATTAAGAACTCAGGTTTTTGTTCCATCCACATTTTTTTTCAGGTAAATAGTGCCTTTTCAGGGGAGCTCTGGTTGTTTTTGCTATAGAATTATGTTTATTTTAACTGACTTCCTGCTTCACTGTTAAGTTCCTCTTGAGTTGCTTTGAAGGTGAGAGTGAAGGATATCTTAGGGAGTTGGATGTTTAACAATAGTAAGTCATAGGTCAGTGCATCTTATTTTATGTCTCCAGTAAAAGAACTCTTGAGTAACCTCAGTGGGACCTTCTTGAATTGTGTAGGTGGCCCCAGTGTCACATTTCTGTCCTTTTTTGACTGGGCAACGATTTCTGGATCTGGTTAGCTTTTTGGTTGGATTGGTGCTGGAGTGCAACTGAGTTTAACACATTACAGCTCACATGGAACAGTAAAGCCAATAATTGGTCACCTTCCTGTTAACTCGCTGAAATTTCTGCTCTTGATTCTTACTGGCAGAACTTCAGAAGTAGCATATTTTTACTGAACAGTAATATACCTTCTTTTTCCCCCCTCTTTCAGGTAACATCAGCCATCCTTAGCCAATACCTGCAAGCATGACTCCTTCCCAAGTTACCTTTGAAGTAAGAGGAACATTAATGCCAGGTACAAAAATTAGATTTTATTGTATGCTTTCTTTTTTGTGCAATAAATGTAGAAGAACACATTCATTTAATAAGAAAGTAGTTTTCTGCTTAATTGGGGGTAAAGATGCATAGAGTTTTAATTCCTTTGATGGTAAAGTGAGGAAGCTGGAATAATAAAGAGGAACTTCATATAGGAAAGCTTTGTATGCTTTTATTTCTTTTTTTAAAAGAAGTAGGGGGCTAGAACAGAGATTTGGAGAATGGGTTTTATTTTGTTTTAATATAACTTCTATTTGAAAATGGCTGGTGTACCAGAGATTAAAACAAACAAACAAAAAAAGCTTGAAATTAGTTCTGAGCACTAGAAAGTGTCTATGATAAATATTTCATTTCATCATGATTAGCTTCAATATTTACCCTGGCTATACAGGTATATGTGTAGGTGGTGTTAAAAAGAATACTCTATGCAAGCAAATGCTGACTTGTAACAAGGGGGTTTGGTATTTGAACAAATTAGGAACATAGAAATCATGTTAGCACCTAATTCAATAACCCTTTTTGACTTGGATCTGTATCCAATGCTTCAGAAGACTCTGCTAGTAAACTCTTGTTTACTACTGCTCATATAAAAAATTTGTCTTAATGCCATCAGTTAGTGATTACCCTGAAACATGGGGGTTTATTCTTATGATTTTATTTCCAGCTAATATAACTATAGCTCTTTGATATTTATATTAGTGAAAATTCTTTTGAATTTTATGAAGCATTTAGCCTTGGTAGACATGTCTAAATTGCAGACTTACTGTGATATACAGTGGTGTGCTCAAACATAATTACTACCTTTTTAGTTTGGGGGGTGTGTGTGTGTGTGTGTGCGCGCGCGTGTACGTGTGAGAGACAGGCTTTGAGGTAGCCATGCAATAATAGGACCTTGCGGGTTAGATTCCACCGGGCTAATTATACATGTACGAAGTCGTTCTTTTTTGTCAGTTTTAAATCTTTTCTCCTGAATGTCTCCTGACCCTTGGGAAGAGGTAATAGGAGCACCTGAGTATCATTATAATTGTTTTTATGATTTAAGCCATTAATTATTTTGTGAACCTCTATCACTTGTATTTTAATCATCTTAATGATTAGTGATATTAATCAAAGTGTTTTGAGTTTCTCATGCAGAAATCCATGCCTTTTAAGTCCCTTTCTACATCTACACTAGTACTTTTGAAGTAGGGGATGTGACCTGAATTTGGTATTCAAACAGGGCATACCATTGACTTCAATAGAATTATAATACTTAGTATCATATACTGAATGTTCTTTAGAGGAACTAAGGCTTCTTTTTGACATCTGTGTAGTGCAAAGAAGCAATTAAATCTGCTTTCTGTAGTAACCTCCAGCATCTGTTCAGAAAGGCTACAGTTGAGAATCCAGCAATGTATGTAGATACTTCAAATTATTCCCTGTAAAGTGCATTATGTTGAATTGCACACTGAATTTCATGCTCCTGCCTTCCATCTGTTCACATCCTGATGTTTCTTTCTCCAATATTTCACTAATTACTGCTATCTGTAACATAAAACCCAAGGAACAGTGTAGCCTCCAGGCCTCATACATATTGCCTCGGGCTTCCTTGCTCCGAGTGCTCACCGGTACTTGGCTTGCCGTCGCAGGTGGCCTTCTGGGAGGTCTTTCCACGCGCTGCAGTCTGCCCTTTCTCGCCTGCCACAACTTGGATCTTTCAGTGGGTGGGGCTTCGTGTAGTGCGGTTACCCTTGTCAGACACCTACGTCGTAGATGTCTTCTGCGAGGCTCCTCCTCCCCTGCACCTCGCCCTTACCCAGCCCGGCGGATCTTGGCTGTTTCTGTGGGTGCTCGAATAATTCCCCAGGTACTCAAATAACAAGCTCACCCCTCGTTCCCACTCCCTGCTGTCGCGCACCTAGCCCCTTCTAACCCAGGGAAACACAAAAGGAACCTTTCAAACTCAACTAAACTCTATAGGCTTAATGAGAGGCATAACCCTGCCCCTATTAGGCTTCCTAGTGGAGCCAGTAGCCTCTCTGCTCCTCTGCTTAACAACCGGGTCACACGTTCGTGGCTCGGTTCAATAGCCCTCTCTTTCTCTGTCTGACTCCCACCACTCCTTGCCAGGTATCTCCCAGGGCGACCCTCTCTCCGGGTCTTCCCTGGCCCGTAGCCCTCTCTCCGGGTCTTCCCTGGCCCATAGCCCTCTCTCTGGGTCTTGCCCGGACCACAGCCTTC